GCGCAAACTCCGGTTCAATAGAACGAAACAGCTGGAGGAACAACTCAAGATCCGACGTCATCACGAAGCCGAGATGCGCCGCATGGCGAAGAAGACAGAGGACGTACAAAAACAACTAGACCTATTAGACGACGTGCTATCCCTGTCCCATGCTCGCACGCAGTACCGACTAGACGACGCCCACACACCTCGCCTCGCAATCGCCATCACGCCGGATGACACCGGCCAACCACCACCGCCTCCCTTGGAACCTACTATCCACGACGTTCGGATACCGCTCCTCGGTTCTATCACCAAACCCCACCCGTTCTTGCCCGAATCTCTACGGCAGACTCCCGAACGGAACCCCCATGACCCTACGATCCGCCACTCACCCGACTACCCACGCCAGATATTTGCGTGTATCTACCGGGTGTCCGACTCCGCCAAGTCCTGGAGTGCGGAGGTGGAGAGCTTGCTCGAGACGATCTCCCAGTTGGAAGCAAAGAACGCTCGAGAGGCGGAATCCCGCGAGCGGTCCGAGCGGTGCCTGCGAGAGGAACTGGCGGCGATAAAGGACGAGTTGGTCGTAACGCAAACGGAGTTGTCGTCGACAGTGGAAGGGCTAGGCATGACGCAAGAGGAACTAGCGGCGACAAAAGAACGCTTATGCATGACGCAAGAAAATCTTTCCAATGCGAATCACGACCTCGATCGAGAGCGGGAAATCCTTCAAAAGACAAGGACGCAAGCTAAGGACGTTACTCATGAATTGGAAACTTGCAAGGCGAGTTTTAAGCACCTCCAAGACGCGCGGCGCACGGGCATAGTCAGGTTTTGCGAGGTCGTCGAACTGTTGTGTCAGCGGAGTGCCGACCTCGATTCTCTAAGGGCTGAGGCTAAGGTGTCGAAGTCCAAGCATTCAGAAGCCGTCTCCCTGTCTGCCGTGCTACGGAAGCGCGTGGAGATCCTCGAAGCCGAAGTGAACTCGTTGAGGCTCAATCAGTAGCGTGAAGAGGTACAGCCAGCCCACGCCAATTCTCAGGTGTTTTGCACAGCAGATCAAGGTTCGTGTTATTTGTGACTTATGTAGTCCTTGATTCTGATACGTTTGGGAATACCAGGTTCTATACCCACCGCACACGGCATCGAGCGTCCTTCCCTCGATTCGCCGCGATGGAGATGGCGATCACCAGCGTCGTTTTCATCGTCGTCATCGTCATCGTCATCATCGTCGCCGTCGCCATTCGAGTCGCCACTTGGCAATATCTTGCCTATGTCAAACTCAAGCCCATTGCAAATCATTGCAAATTTAGATAATCTTCATTTAAGTCTTGAGCTTGAGCCTCCACAACGCCCAGATTGGTCCCCAACACGCCATCCTCCGCCTCCTTTCCGATCAGGAATTCTCTCTCCAACGCGGTTATGTTCCGTGACATTCTTGCCTGTTGGGAGTAGTGTCGGTTCAGTGGACTGGCCACCCATTGGATCTACGCTACGACCTTCAGGTAAGAATGCGGAACACTGCAGCGGCGTCGGTATTCTGGTGAGTGAAACGCCTTCAAGTCGAAAGGACATGCTGACGAAGTGAATTCCTGCTACTCAGAAGGCGCTGCGATTACCGCTCCAGGAGGCTGATAACCTGCCATCCACTTCGTCTACTTCCCGAAATCCGTTAAATCTCCCTCTTCCTCGGATTTTGACTAGTCGTGAGTCGAGCGCAGAGCCTCTATAGGCACTTGGTTTCAACGAAGACAACCGCTGACACTCGCGTCCCAGGACCCTTGATATTCGGCGACCTAGCTCAACGTGTCGGGGTGCATGGTGCCGCTTCGTCTCGATTGATCAACATTGCAGCCACCGGGCCTCAAGCTCCAGAAAGCTTGGCTCCACTGGCAGTATCCCGCCTCCATCCTGTTCTCGTCTCTGGGAGGTAAGCAAGAACAATTGATTGTTGGTAGTCGGTGCTGACGTCTTAAATTAGTCACCATAGTGCCCCGTCGAGTACTACCCCACCGGGATCACCTCCGATACCTAGCGGAGGCATTGGTGAGCACGCCTCCAACGGCCATATAAGGTCTAAGCCAGAACCGCCACTACCGCGTCTACTTCCGGGCTTGCTCGATCCCATCCTCATTCGCGAGTGCGAACTCCTTGATGACGATTCTCTGTGCGCCTCCGGCAAGCCGAAGAGGATCCGGCGCACCAACTACTCTCGCGCTTTCAGACGCCCACAAATACCAACACTCGACTATGGTCTCCCTGAAGACTTTAGTGCGCACCCTCTCAGTGGTCTATTAACTATGATTGTGACCTTGGTTCGCAATAGTCCCAGGTACTGGATGCGTCACCATTGAACAGCCCAATCGGGAACTGGATATCGCTTGGGATAACGATTTCGCAGTCCTCATACCCCTCGACTGCCGAACGAGCACGCCCATTGCAATATCTAGGAGGCTGGTCACGAAGCAGCCAGAGTCAGATACTAGATTTCCTGGCTTTGGGAACTCGCCTCCTAGACCTAATATCACCATCTCCCCAGAGTCGCGAAAGGCTCTGAGTGATGTCGCTTAATCAAGCTAATTGATTCAATTTAAAGTGCTTTAATATTATTTTTATTATCTATTTGATATTCTTTAAATTCGATTTAATATCCAACCCACATCTCAATACCATCATCGTCTCATGCTTTTCCTTTCTGCAAACCCGTATAAAGAAATCTAGTACGACGAAGACCCTCCTCATTGACAGATGTCGTTTAGGGCACTCAGAGGTGTAGCTCCTCGAGGCCAACGAGTTCGAAGGTCCGTTGTTGAAGACTAAATGTTCCTCCGGCAGACTTGAAGCCTGTCTAGAACAAAATACTGGATTTAAACTCTCGCATAGTAACAAAAGATCAACTGCTAGGCGTACCACTCCTGCATACTCAATATATGGCCCACGCCGGGAAACACCAAAAATTCGCCACCCGCACTGATTCTCTACCCGTTCTGAGACACCCGTTACAACTTGGGACAACTACTTTGGACTTGACTTTGGATTAGCAGGTTGTTCCGCCCCTTGATCCGCAGGCCCAGGGTTCAACCCCGGGTCTGTCGAGTTGACCTGTCCTGCTGGCGGGGGGACGCAGTTAGGGGCAACGTTGGGGAGGCCATCTGATTATCAACCTGTCAGCAAGCTCCGATGTCCATTGAGAGGAAAGACACTGACCCTGGATCTGAATACTGTCGCAGCAGAGTGTTTGATTGTAACTGCGTCGCGTTAGCAATCTGACTTGAATGTGGAAGTCGAGGAGTACAGTATCATCCCTGCAGTTCGGGAGCAGTGCAGTTCACCCCGACGGGGAGAGTGACGTTCAAGTTGGGGCCCGAAGAAAGCGCATCTTGGCTATCACGTGGCAGAGAGCTGAAAGGAGTGGCGGTTACGCAGCACGTCAAGTTGCCAGTGCCGGGGCTGCAGCTGGGGCCGTCCTTGCGGAGGCTTGCGGAGGCGGTGACGCTACTGGCCAAAGCAATGGTGGCGACGAAAGAGACGAGCGATTTGTAGAACAACATTGTCAAGAATGTGTGGAGATGGTTCAAATATTTGTGTTTAGAGGGATGCTGAGGACTTTGGAAGGACATGAGCTACGCTTTTATAAGAATTCGTACATTCCAGGGGGGAAAAGAAAATGATGACGAAGACCAGTGCACTCGCCATCCCGGAGACAATCCATACAGAGAGCGATACATAAAATAGGAACAAATTGTCCGCAGCATCAAGGCAACATCAATGCATCATGTCGTCAAGCTTCAACGTTTTACCCCAAAAAAGAAATAGACTGTTTGATCGCTTCCTCGGAAGAAAAAACACCCGAATGTGTTGAGTACCCGAGTGCAGTCATGGGATATTTTGCGTGCGGGGGTTTGTGACGAACATCCACACGACGATGACCGGAACTTTCACATCGAACTCGAAGATCAACATGCGGCCAACACGTTACAAGGCCACCATACCGGGCCAGTGAATTGAAGGAGCAACGGTCTGAAACCCGTGACGTTGTACGGCCAATGCCAGCAGCCACTGTCACCGTCACGGTGAGGATTGAGGAATATTTGACATGTATCGGGCAAGAACCTGTAGGGGCTTGGCGTTTGTGCCAAGGATCGCACTCGCTGTTAGTTTCTAGGTGTCGATATTAGAATTGCACCGCAGTAGAGAAACCATATAGATGGTAACCAATAAAGCAGAAAGCTTTTACTTTTCATCACTGTAAGCGCGTAAGGTCAGGAACGTTCTGCTGCGCGGCAATTTGTGCGCTTGCGTTGCAAGTTGCGTTGAATATGATTTCGTCGGATGATGTACAGCACAGCACAAACACAAGCTTGAACACGAGCGTCCACGTCATTTCGTCCACTCACAGTGATAATGCCGTCTGCTTTCCCGCGCCCACTCCTGCGGTATCGGCGACTCCTTTGAGCATGCTTCCGTCATGCAAACCATCTTGGAGTCGTATCAAAGACCCACGCTGTAGCGCTGAGTGTTCGCGCCCCTCCTCATTCCGCTTTTCATTAAGGTTGCTGGGATTAAACTCTCCGCCGACTCGAATCGCTTCGCCACGCAGAACGCGGCGCTCAATCGTCGTCGCACACAAGATCTCGTTACCTGCGCAGACCTTACCTCCCCGAGTGCACCGCTTTTATCGTCTACCCTCCCCGCAAGGGCTACGACGAGGTGTTCGTGCGGTTTCTGTTCGCGTTATGCACATAGACGGTCGTGCACGTGAGTTGCAATGTGCACACGCAGGGCGGAAACGTCGCCCAAGTCGTGTCGTGGTCGACGGAAGAGGACATGGTGGCTGAAGGGAATTCGAAAACGTGTTCTATATGCGTTCTGGAGGACCTGAGGTTGTTCGATGACTTTCCACAGACGACCCACATGGAGTCCTTGCGGTCTGAGTCGTGACGTTGTGGGGGGTTCGTTCTCACGACTTTGGCTACTGTAACGGCTCGCATATGATACAGTTCAGAAAGAAATCAACATCGGATATGGTGTAACGGCTAACATTACCGCCTCTCACTTGATCGCGGTAGCTCGGGGTTCGATTCCCCGTATCCGAATTTCTTTTGTCACCACTGGCGGTTGGTTATGCAGTCAACAGTGATGAGCGACCTTTTTCCCAGAATCATGCGGCGTGTTGTCATCTACGGTCAATCAAACTCTTTGCTTCAAATTCTTTGTCCATGGCCATAAGCTGTCTGCATTTATTATCGCCTCCTAGATACATCAGGAATGTTTAGAACCGTTGGATTGTTAAAAGCACGGCTATAGAGTATGCAACTGATATGGAACATTCTCTTATTTTCTAACACAGGATACGAACTTTTCATCAAACTTCGTTTTTGTGTCGACGACAGTTACAGGGTGCTCAGAAAGATGGCACGTAGCGACGAAATTCTGAACCGACGATGCCCGTCGGCCCACTAAGCAAATTAAGTCAAGGGATGGCAACACCTCTGTGACCATCTCCCCATTGATGTTGTCCAGTGCAAGAGCAACACGCCCTGTGAGTTTCCGAGATACATGCAACGTCTTCGCGTTGGGGAATTGGCGGAGGAAACGCTGCCAATCAACGTCGTCTGTAGTCTCGCCTTCCGTCTTGAAGTCGAGATGGACCACATGGGAGAGTGTTACGGCAAACCGGCTGAGAAGCTGGGCCATGTGTGAACCTTGCCAGTCGACTCCTTGGAGTGAGATGATAGTACTAGCGCGACAATACATGCGGAAGGCAACTCTGTCACGGAGAAAGGTAACACGAAAATGCTTGAATCGGCCTAATTTAGTGCCGACCCAGCAATCGATGAATTTGGAGAGTTCGGAGACCTGTGAGTCAACGGGCTGATTCAAGTAACTACCGAGATCCCAAGGAGGCGGGGGCCGTAGATTCGGGAAACGAGATTCTCTAGATACTCGCTAGCACCTTGGAATCGAAAGCGGGTGAGGGATGGAAGGATGATCCGAGTTACGGGAGGCAGGAGTAATCGATCAGGGCAGGGGGTAGCCGATTGAAATTCGATGGCCAAGACTTCGAGTTTGGGCAGTGCGGCTAAACACGCAACCATCGCCTCGGGTGAAATGTAACCGGTGGGGGGTATTTCGCTGAGGTGGAGCCTAACTAGGGCATTGGTCGACAAGAGAAGCGTTGGCAGTGTCGGAAAGGAAAGGCCACACAACTCGAGTACCTCTAAACACGGTACTGATCCTCCTAAAAATTCAGGGGGAAGGACTGGCTCATCTTCATCTTCCGAGGCAATGATTAGATACTTCAACAACGAAAATGGCTTCTGCGTGACTGCGATCGTCTTTTTCCACAGCGAGCCCGTTGCTTCAAGCCCGATCAAACATACACGATCGTGGCACTCGAGTGCAGCAATGATATTGTCTTCGTCGCTCGGCGTGATGCTTCTTCCCAAATAGGGATACTCGATAAGGATAGGTAAGGTCGGCCAGATACCGAGATTCTCCTTGACAGGACTTCCGGATTTGCAGAGAATTCGGAGATTGAGGCTACGTGGTGAGTCAAATACGATTTGTCGCCATCTTCGGCATACATGCACCAGTAAATGCCATTCTTCGATAGGAAAAAGGCTGAAGAGACTACTTTGCCATAAGTCAAATATTTCAAGCAAGACATCGTCTGGGAGCAAGTCGATTGTCGTTGCCTGTTTATAAGCCCCGCCTTTACCAAGAAAAGTCAGTATGTGCAGCAGTCATCACGAGGGTACTGAATACTAGTAGCGCGCCTTGTGCTGCATGTAAGTTCTTTTGTTCCTTGTGATGACCTTGAATGCTTATGTTCTCGGGCTTGCGACGGCCACGAGAAGTCGTATTCATCGCGAGGTGGCATCTAGGAGGCCTCATTGGGTATGAGTGAGCAAACGTTGATCGAAGATCAGCGGTGAGTACCCAGAAGATAGCCTGGATGAGATTGGGGAAAATTCCGTCAATCAGTGTAATAAATATACCAAACGAAGGCCCGGCTTGCTGCAGACAAACTTGTTTGACGTGTCCACACACGGCCACGTGATTTGAATCCGAAACGCGTCCCACGGCTACAGCTGACGCTTTCCGCTTCCCAACTACGACATCTCCTCTATCCCCATATCATCTCCCCACCTCCCTCCCTTCACTGCCCCTGTAGCGCCTCGGTCATGGTCTTCCTGTAGTGCACCGCGTGCCCAGGCGTATGCCACCGCGCCTCAGGACGCTACCAAGATTCTTGTCTTCTATCCTAGAAAGTTTTAGCTGGTGACCTAGGTGCATGCGTGCACACGAAATTCGGCGTGCGTCCATGGCACTCCAATCCGTTCTGCTTGTGCTAAAGTGGCTTGCGCAGTCATCCCTATCATCATCCGAAAATACGACGTGCTTATCTTCGACCAGGAAGATCTCCGTGACTGGACACATAAGCCTCCATCTATCTGATTCCATCATCATCCGACAATATTTTTTTATCCTTCCATCTCTCACAAGTTCGGCTCGGACTGACTTGATGTCACGCTGGTGGACAAGCTTGGATCCCTCTGCCAATCATCAGCGCGCCCAAGTGGATGTGAATCAGATGACACCCAGAGCGCGACACGGACCGTTGGAACGTCCTTCCCTATTTTCCGGTGTCGTATATTTCGTTTTGTTGTTCCTGCTTCCGCCTGCTGAACATTCAACGTAGAACCGGTTCCGCCGTGCTATTATTGAAGGCTAACAGGATCCATAGTCTAAGACGTACACAAGTCCATTGTGATATACACCTAGACGCACGTGTCTGGATAGGTGTTGTCTGAAGCAATTCGTATATATTTGTCTGGATGGGGTCGTCTCCTAAAACGCAACAGATGGATGATTAGAACCGTTGTATCTTAAAATGCTGAGCCATAGGGTCCGCAACTGGTATAGAACATTCTCTTACTTTTCGATTTCGGACTTACTGTAAGTCTTTAAGCATACTCCTCGTATGTGTTGACGACGATTAGAGTTGACCAGAAAGCCGGCGGACGGCGACGAACTTCTCAGCGGATGATATGGACCAGCCCGCTAAGCAAATCAATTCAAGGGAGGGCAACACTTCGGCGACCATCTCTGCCGTGATGTCTTCCAATGCAAGAGCAACGTGCCTAGCAAGCCTCCGAGATACATGCAGTGTCTGTACGGGGGAGAATTGCCGAAGGAGGTGCAGCCATTGAACGTCATCAATATCCTCTGTTGAATTGATGATACGCATTGAGCCAGTCCACGAGATTGAGATAGACAACAGCGGAAAGTGTCGCGGCGAAATGGCCAAGCACCTGCGTCATGTGTGAAGCTTGCCAGTTAATCCCTTGGCAAGAGATACTAGTCTAAGCAGGAAACTGAGTTCGTTTGCACTACGAGACATGAAGAGGATTAATGTTTTTAAAAAAGCGAACTTTGACGTGCTTAAATGCGGTTAACTTGGAGCCCACTGAGGGATCGATGAACGTGGAGAGTTGAGCAACTTTAAATTCAACAAGCTGATTGAAGTAAGACACGAAAACCTTGCCCAGTCGTGGGCTGTCGATTCGGGAAACAAGGTCCTCCAGATACTCGCTAGCACCTTTGAATTGAAAGGACGTGAGAACAGGAAGGACAGCCCGTGTTACGGGAGGCGGGCGAAGTCGATCAATGCAGGGGGTAGCCGATTGGAATTCAATGAGAAAGTCTTCGAGCGTGGGCATTGCGGCCAGAGCCACAACTATGGCCTCAGTAACCAGTAAGGGGTATTGAGTGAAGGCAGAGCTTATCGCGTCAAGCGCCATTTCCAAACATGGTGAAAGGTTTGTTCGTGATTCTTTAGATAGACATCAAATATTTCGAGCAAAACATTGTCTAGGATCATGTCGATTGTTGTTTCGTGTCTGGAACTATTACCTGTGCCACATATTATCGGTACTCGCCACAGTCACTTCTGCAGTGCTGAAAGACACACCTCGAGTGTTTACACCCTCTGGCATGCAGCGACTTCGAGAAATCATTCTGGTGTGAGATGGTACTAGAACTTGAAGATGGATCACTCGGCAGGGAGAGAAGAGGAATGCTAATTGGTGAGCAGCAGCCTGAGTGAGTACTCACTCAGGTGGTAGGCACTGGACACACCTGAAACCGATCGTGAGGAGCGGCCGTTCAGAAAACTTGGCAGAGGAACTGAAAAATGACCTGGTTGGAGAATAGAATTTGGCTAGTAAGATGGACAAACGACTCGGAACTTCGGAAGGCCTTAGATTATCCAGAGACGATCATAATGGAAGGTCACGCGCTTCACGTGGCCATGCTGCGAAACGAGGCAGGGAAGTTTGGGCAGCTCATGCATAATCTGCTCTCGTAGCCGTTACTGAGGTGCAAATATATATTTCATCATGGTTTGAACAAGGAGTGTGTATATTATTGGAACATATCAGCCACCAGCGACCACTGGCAGTTGTCGAGGGTTCTCAGTTGAGAATCCATAATAAGATTCTGATCCCCGATGGTAGAGCCATCTCCGGGTGTCTTCTGAAAGCCGGGAAAACGCGATTGAGAGGGATGATATCGCCTGTACAACTATCCGACGGTGCCGGTGCTGTTTCTTATATCGCAGTCAAGATAAGCACTTGAAGGCCCTAGCGTCAAAGAGTGGAAAATTAGCTAGAGGGGCCGCACAAGAAGGCCAGAAAACTACTGGGAAATGCTGAGGAATGAATGCCAGTAGGCGTGTCGGACATGCGTGGGTCGGCTGCGTGTAGTATTGGAAACTATTAGGGGTACTAGTCTAGGCGAATAACAAAGTCGGACACCATGGACCACTGCATCACGCATAGTGTTCCGAAGCCTCTGAACGATCTGCTGGCCACGGTCTGGGAATTATACGCTAAAGGAGACGGGTCTATCTGGGCTTCAGAGAGGCGCAGAGAGTCACGACCAATCACGCAAGCTCCCCGAAGCAGAAACGCAAAGGGTGAGTCTGTCCAGCTCGATGACGGCTTGGTCTCGCCTGCCTCCGCGCCTCGCCACGAGACTTCGCGAACTTGATCACCTCTGCACTTGAGAACGCTGACACAGGGTTCCAGCG